GAACATCAAAAGATCCCCCACCAGTGTTGTCTTCAACTAGCACAGCTGCCCAGTAGCTGCCTTTCAGAAGTGTCTCTGCCCCCATTGCCATTAATGAGATCCATGCTCTTTTTGCCAATGTGACCATTCCCTTACTCCTGAAGAAGGTGGGCACATTCTAGTCTGGTTTTTCAACCTTGACCATTCATTCTACCATGGATAACCCTGCTCTGAGCCCGGCCTAGTGTGCCTATTCTGGCTTCCTGACAGCATGGCTTTTGACTTGACACTCTCAAACTCCCTGATCAAATTAAGGTGTGTGTCAAAGAGGGGGACCAGAGTTGTACAAGGATTCAACTGTCAGACTAGTCAGCTTTTGAACATGAAATGGAAGAGGGTACCGCCTGTCCTTCACCTCAAAGCAGCAAAGGTGAACCACTCCATGCAGAGACCATTTGCATTTTAAGCTCATCCTTCAAGAGGGAGTCGTTGAGTTTTCACACAACTGAAGGTTTACGGTATGATCCTAAATCCAGATTTTAAAGAACCATGCAATGGTCTGAGATGGCTATTACATCGACATGGCAGGCCTTGATATACTGGAATAGCCAGATTAAATGAAGTTTTGTTTTGTTGGACAGATGATCAAAGGTATAGTCTCTTTCACTGGAATTTAGTGTAGGCCATAGATCTATTAGGCCTTGTTCCTCAAGAGTGGAGTAGACAATGGAGAATAATTTGTACAGAAGTGCACTTCTATTCAGAACTGGGTCTAGAATTTCATTTAAAACTTCCTAAGTCATAAGTTATGGGGAACAGATGGTGAAAACCTTCATGGAACACTGAGGAAGAATCTAAGTTTACCAGGTCCAGCTTGAGTGTTTACTAGGCCTTAACAACTAGGCGAAGAAGCTGTCCTTCCTTGTTTGCAACCCTGTGTAGCACTGAGATTGGGGCTCGCTTGTGAATCAGCACAACTACACAATTTGATTTCTTGGAGTCACCGCTAGCATAAACTCCACATATTCAGTCCCTCAGTGCAACTGTTTTCTCTTTTGCTGGCTGGTCTCCAGCAAATACGGTCTCCTGTAAGAAAGTTATGTCAGCTTTTAAGCCCTTGAAATTGGTGAAGACTTGTCAGAATTTGTTGGGTGTACCCAATCCTCAAACATTCAAGGAGATGATGACTGATGATGTGCTGTGTGTTTTATAGTTGGCATGAAGAGGATGAGTGGAGTAGGGAATCATTTAATGCCAATTCCACCTCTTACTAGCATCTCAGTGTTATTTCATTTCAGTTCCTTTGCCCAGTGTGAGTGATGGTAGGGCATGTGTGGTTCTGCTCAAATGATACAAGGCTTACGCTGGTGCAAGTAGGTAATGGAAAAAAGGGGTATCATTAGAGTGATCAGGAAGGAGTGGTAAGCTGGAAAGCAGCACTAGTTTTGGTTGAGTAGGACCACATAGTATGCTCAAACGTTGGTCTGGGTTGACAAGAGAAGTTTAGGGAATAAATAGGCTCTGATGCTCCACAGGCAGGCCTTGACAAAACAATACAATGGAAAATATACCAGTATCAGAGAGCACATCCAGATGCCAAATCTATGAATGCACATAAAGGTCACATAGGACAAGACACCAAGATGTGTAACATTCATCAGACAGTTCAAGAGGCATGGAGCCATTCAACCAACATGCAAAGGTACCAGTACTGATGAAAATCAAAAAGAATATTGTATGCACTTGGTGCAACATTAGTCTTTCCCAACTACTTCCAGACAGGGGATTTCCAAATTTCTAGCTTACCTGTTAGCTAACAGGGCCCAACTGAACTCTTAATGTTGGAGAGGAATAAACTGGGGGCTCCATTGCATATCGATGGCACTGTGTGTTACTTATGTTTTCACTGCAGATAATGATGAAGGGGATACTAATAACTGTACTACAAAGTAAAGAGAAAAGGGGATGAAGAAAAGAGGGGGGGAAAGGGGATAAAAGAGAGGAGGAAAGGAAGGGGTAGAGGGGCATGGAGAGAAAGAAAAAAAGGAAGGAAAGGGGGAGAACAGAGGGTGTGGTACTCTCCAAGCACTCTTCTGCCCCCATCCCATCATCCAAGAAGCCACTAGCTGAAAACATTTGCCTACTTGGAAGCAGGCCAGCTTGTTGTCAGTGGTCTCACTCATAAGTGAATCCCACTGATGGCAGTGGGGTTCACCTGCTTGCATCTGGGTGGGAGCAATGGGGGTGCAAAGAAAGTCAGAGAGATGGGAAGCAGGAGAAGGCAGGAAGTAAAGAAGAAAGGAGAAGGGGGGAAGGTCCAGAGTATACTCCTGCACCCCCACCCCCCATTTAAGAATCTACTTGCTGGAATATCTTCCTATGTAAAAGTAGGTCCAGCCATTTTCAGATGGCCACATGCACAGAAGGATCACACTGACTTCAGTGAAAATGGCAGGAAAACAAAGGTGGGAAGTGATGTTGTAGTCACGTGTTGTTTTCCTGGCTTATGCGAAAGCTTGTCTTGCTTCCTTATAGTCTAAGATGATCATGATCCACGTCTAACTGGGTCCCCCCAGGAGCATTCATTTACATGATCATTTTAAAGCATCCTCTTTCATGAGGAAACGGGAGGTGTTTCACAATGACTGCATGCACACAGTCTGGGGTGGTGCGGGGGAGAGATGCAGGGCCAGTGTGCCCTTTCAAGTTCCAAACGTATTTCTCCAAGGCTTCCCTCAGCAATGTTCCCACAGCCTAGTGGGGTGGCCCTTATTCCACGGCTCCTGCACTCCCACTCCAACAATCCTTGTTATTTCTGCAGGATCTCCCCCGCATCTCACACAACCTCCTCTTCCATATTATTTTCAGCCAGAAGGGCTTTTAGAGCATTTGGCCCATCTTGCCCTCCATCTTCCAGGTCAGAGATTCTCTGTTCAAATGAAGAGACTCTTTGTTTGACTGAACCAGCCCTCTTTTCTGTTCTACAGCATTCTGAAGGGTAGCTGTTGCTTCTTTTAAGGAAGCAGCATCAGCTGAAATGAAATGCAGGAGGGGCCATGTTTTCCAGTGTTTCCTAGAGGGGGAGTGTATGTGTGTGGGGGTAGTCTAGACTTGTTTTCCTGCCATAACCCTTCCTGATTTTGTGGGCATTAGGCCACAGAAGTTCTGCCAAAATTGAGCCAGGAACAGTGGAGTAAAAACACCTCCCACAGCACCACCGTAGAAACACCAGCTTCCATCAGCTAGGAAATACCTTTAGGGGTCTCCAATGCTGGATTTAAGTAGCAGAATTGATTGTGGGTCCTGGAGCTCAAAAGCCTGGTGCTCTTCGGGGAGCCATCCCAACCAGAAGTCCTACCACAGCCATCTAAAAGGAATGGACATGCTGAAGGAGTAAGTGGGCAGTTCCCTATTAGAAATGTTCTCTATTTAGTGGGAACTTATCAGAGACATAGTCAAATAAGCAAAACAATAAATCAGAAAAGACAATCCATCTGCCCAGATGCCTGAATTACAGGGAATACAGAGAATCTTAATAAGGCTTCCCTAAGTTCCCTTAATAAGGCTGGTTGCACAGAACTGCTGCTGTACATGTTGAAGCAACAGACTATGAAGCCTGAATTTAAGATTAAATCTTAATATGTTGCTCTATTATTCCTTGCAGATACTCTGCCAATGGTCCTCATCTACTGGCATTCAACTAATGACAAATGGCTTTCCAAACAAGGATGAGTTAAAAGGTATGGACCTAGTTTTCCTGAAGTTAGACCCACTTTATAGTTCACATTTTTCTTCTAGAAGTACCTAAGCAGGAAACAAGAAAAAAATCGTATTTTGTGCATAAGAATTTATTTCTCCTTAATCACATGTAAGGGGCACCTACTGAACACCAAGGGCATTCATGCTAAGCCACCCTGCAAAGAAGCCATGCTGGATCAGTTGTTTGCAAAACGGACAAATGGGCTTGCTGTGGCTTGATCGTCGCCTCAGTCCTTCAGCTAGCTCCAAGCCATATCTCAGAGGACTCTGAAGCAAAATCTACCTTGTCTCTCTCTACATGCTGATTGCTAACTTTCTCTTGATTTTTTAAAATTAATTTTCAGTGCCTCTAGATGACCAACTGGAGAGTCATTTTTTTAAAATTTATATTTGTCTTTAACAAGTACCCAAGTACAGATGTCCAATATTTGCAGTCTTTCCTGGTCAATTTTCTTTTTGTAAACTTTCATTTCTATTCTTTAGGATTGGGAAATAAATGGAAGGGAAATATATGCATGCTTAATAGCTGGTGAGTAAATGCAAGTAAAATATGATCACCTCCATGTAACAGCAGTTACTGCAGGTAAGCCAAATGTCTTCTCCATTTGCTTCCTACCCTTTACATTTGCACAAATATTCCCAACATTAAAAAAAACCCCCACAAGGGTGGCAGAACAGGATGGAGCAAATGCATTATCATCACTTTCCCATTAACACTATTCCATGCAGCCATATTGTCAGGGTTATTTTAAAACTCTCAGGGAGATATGCAGGCATCCCTGGAAGTGTGCAGTAACACAGAGAAGAAAAGGCTTTGAATAAAACTTTATGAAGTAGATCAACATGTAAGGCAGTATTTTTCAAGAAACAATGGTTAATCAGTTATCCAGTATGGTTATTAGCAAATACCTGAAATACATATACACTTACATAAGCAAATATAACCTACAAGATTAATCATACAAAGAAAATGTTAAATGCTATTTGCAAGGTTGTATCAAAGTATCAGAAAAATGTGACATGTGGTTCCTTGTACCAAGTTTAAACTTAAGCAAATTAAAGAACTTTCACTATAACCCATAGGTTATGGGGTGCCACAATAGTATAATGAAATAAATTATTATTAATAATAAATATTATAAAATGAAATAAATATAAAATTGTAGTTCTAGAATTCAGCATGAATGGGCAAAAAGTTATCTAGGTTATTTTTCTCCTAGTTCAAATTGGAAAACAAAAAAGTTCTTAAGTATAACTCCAGCTTAGTTCTTCCTTAAAGTTAACTTGCTGATAAAGAAGCAGCATCCAGATCCAACCAATGCTACCACTGACATTTTTAAAAAGGTCCTCTTCCACCGGCCTTTTTCCACCAGAGGCTGTATTCGGCAAGGATCCTCATTCTGTCCCTCGTGCAGCTAATATAATTTATTGAGAAGGAAATGTTATGTCTCTATAATACAGTACAGGAATATAAAAATTTAGGCATCCAGAGTATCAGACATGGCTTAGAATTAAGGGAAAGAACAGTGAATAGTACTCACGTCAATCTTGCTTGGGGTAGGCTCTAAGTAGGGCAGAGAGGCAGTCCGGGTCCGTGTCTGTGTGTCCACAGTACAACGCCACTGCAGGTGCCTGCAGGGATCAGCTGCATGGCAAGGATGCAGTGCAGCTGGCAGCTCTGCAGGGCTGCATCTCAGGCTTTCTTGCACTGCTGTCCTGCTGCCTAATCTGTGCTTCGACTTCCAGCTAGTCCTTCCACCAAGCCCTTGCTCCTGCCTGCCTCCTGCCCAGCTTCAGTCAGTTCCTGCTTCCATCCTAGTCTCCAGCCTGCCCCTGCCCCACCGGGCATTTGCACTCACCCTCCCTTCCCTTGCTCCTGAACATGACTGCCATACTAGAACCTGACCCTTGCCCTGCTCTTGGACTGTTTTTGCTTGAACCATGTTGACTTGCTGGTTCTTGACCCCTGTGCCTCTTGCCTCTGGCCTGCAAACCAAGCTGTATCTGTACTCTGGTCCTGGCATCCTGATAATAGCTGCCTGCTACCCACATCCTAGACATTACAAAGGCCACATTTTCATGTCATGGTTTATCCTAATGTATACAAGCCATATATGAATGGTAAAATAAGGGACTTCACTATGTGGGATTATCTAGTATTTCAGAATATAGAAGGTTTGTGGAGTATCTTTTGAAATCTTTGAAAAGCAAATTGCCAATGTTTCAGGGAGGCATGTTATAGTAGTTATGGAGAACTTCAATTTACCCAGTGTCTCTTTGGAGATAAATTCTGCCAAACAGGGCCCCTTCAAGAAATTGCTGAAACTTCCTCCTACAGAAAGTGGAGGGAGAAGCTAGAGAAACAGCTATTCTGAATGTATTGGGCAATAACTGAAGGTACATTTTATTTAAGTATTTCATTTTTGGACTTGATTCAAAACAGAGAAGACCTTGTGGACAAACTGGCAGTTACAGGAACTCTGGGGGAAAGCCAACAGTCTAAGAGGCAGTCTGGTAACATGAAGAGGGGGTCCCATGGCCTTCTTGACTTCTTCCAACTGTACTACTCTATGATTCTGGAGCTCAGGGTATTTCCCAGAAGCAGATTAAATTAAATTAAATACTTAAATTAGATTAAATTACTAAATTAAGTTATTTCCCTGATTTCCTCTCCATTTTTCTTTTTCATTCCTATATAAAGAATATGGCCTAATAGGATTTACAAACATTTGAACTATACTTTTAAAATATGCTCTAATGGCAATCTTATGGTTTATTCCACTATACAGGCTGCAATGTACTAGGGCAGGGCCTCCAAATGTTATGGTCCTAAAACGCTTGCCATTCCTCACCACTGGCTAGGACATCTGCCTATTCTCTGGCAATGAATTTAAATATTCTATCAGTTTCATCATATATACCTTTTGAATTAGCTTTTTTAGCTTGTTTGCTTCTCCATTCAGATCTTCAGTACTGGAAATAAGGTCTTCACAAACTTTAGCAAGGCTTTCAGGTGGACTCCATTCAAGAACCAACTAACAAAAAATACAAAATTATTCACTTGAAAAACACTTTTCACTTGAAAAACACTGAGCCAGCTAGAGAACCATTGTATATGCTGGGTTCTAGCCAATGGTGCCATTCTGCAGAAACCCATTTTCATTCTTGTCAAGTGTTGAATCCACTACTTAGATTCCACTTGCACAAGGTATTGAGTCTTTATTAGGTTAACTGTCGCTTCCACTAGCTGTTTTTATAACACTTGCATAACTGGTTAGAGGACCACCAATATCTCTTTTATTCTTTTTTAGATACAACTCATTTTTAGCTGAAACTCATTTCAGGTCAGCCATATAATCACTTGGTGACAATATAGCTTAAATTTGTCAATGAAAAAGTATTGGATACTGTAAAATTGATTTTAAAATCTTATATATTTTCTGATTCACTATAGTAAGTTGGCAGAAATAAACCATTTTATTATACAATATTGCTATGTTCCAGTTATTACTGAGATTCAACATAACAAGAAGTATTTTTAAAACATTTTGTCTTTAGTGTTCTGAGTTTGTTTTTATGTGAATACCTTGTGGGCATCTGTAGGGAACTGATTAACCACACTCTGCACAGCAGTTGTAAGGTGAATACATTGTTTGTTTAGTTTCATGAGAAAAGAAAGAAATTCATCACCACTGTAACAATAAAATGAGGCAACAGTTACATAGTTATACAGAAATAGCCTTGAAACATTTTCAGCAATAAGAAGAGTCAAGCATGAAATGCTAGATTTTAAGATCAGGCCTAACTATGCAACTCGTTTTTATGTGCAAGTAATTCTATAGCTAGTGCAGGACAGGATGCAGAGAATAGCATTGTTTCCTATGGACAGCAATTATACTGTGACCAATGCAGAGAGCCCAGATATGGGCGATTGTAGTGGCATATAACTCCATTAAATAAATACATAAAATAAAGCTTGCTACTTTTTTCTCCCCAAGATCATTCTTCGTTCCACAGCAGTAACACATAGCAAAACAGATAGCATTCTTGTGTATAGAACTGCTGTATCTGGTGGTAGAGTAACTATTGTGTAGCATCACAATACTGGAATCAAAAAGTCTTGGGTTCATTTTCTGAAGTTGATGGCACTACTTAACTCGAGTTCATGTGTATGTTCCAGTTTTAGCAAACTGACTGCATTAACAATTGTAAGTCATTTTATGGGAAAGGATGGTTGAAAGAACTGCTAATTTGTTGACATAAGTTTTGGGAGAATATTCCAAGTGATTTTGTTTAAATTGGCAAAGAGAACCAAGAGTTACAAGAACTACAGTATTGTACTATTTCTTTTCCTGCCAGAATTTGCACATAAAAAATGGAACTCACAAATGGCTGTATAACTGGCTAATTTGCATCAAATTTGCATTTATACCCTGCCTTTTCCCTCTTGTGAAAAACTCAAGGCAGCTTACACACCTCTATTTTATCCTCACACCAACAACCCTGTGAGGTTGGTTAGGCTCGGAGTAACTGGCCCAATGTCACTCAGGGAGCTTCACAGTTCAGTAGAGACTAGAATCTGGATTTTCTCAGTCCCCAGTCCAACAATCTAACCAGAACACATCTTTGCTGAAGCCATATATGGCTTGGATATACAGACCATGCATAAATAAAATGGAAAGTTGGATAATCAGTGTGAAGTTGTATTACAAATTTGGTATGCAAGAGACATCTATCATGGATTGATTCCTACTACTATCTAGGACAAGCGAGGAGGATGTGAACAGGCTTTTTGCCACCCTGGCCTCTGTGGTTCCTCCCACTCAGATCTTTTCTAACCAAGATTAAGGAGCCAAAACATGGAACATGAAACTATAGACAAAATTTAGGAGATAAAATAAAATCACCTGTCTCTTAGAGATCCATAAACTCTCTTTGGACAAACATATTTAATGACAGGAAAGGCTGCCAGAGGGTGTAGTATAGATGTCTCCTGTGCACTGCACTGGAATGGAACTTTATGATAACTTTCTATTCCCATCCAGTGCAAGGAAACATCTGTCAGGATATGTATAAAAGCTATCATTCCCATAGTGTGTATCCCAAAGCTGGCAGAATCTATGTTTGAGGAAGAACATATTGAAATACCTACACCAGAAGGCTGCCTCAAGTGAAGCACAATTGTTCAGTGTATACCGTCTGATGAATATGTGACATGAAGAGTAAGAAGCTGCCCTGCAGGTCTCCATGAAAGGAGTGTTAGTACAGAAAGAACTGCTGTAGCAGCCACTGCCTGGTGGGAATATGCTGAGTATATATGGGTTTAGCAAAGTTTTTTTTAAATCAAGATTAAGCTTTGTTTTGCACCATCCAACCAGAAATTCATCTGGAACTGGCTCGATTTCCTGAATATTGAAAGGGGCATAAAAACTCCTTGTCTTCCTTGGCTTCCTCTTCCTTCTTTCTCAGAAGAGAGGAAAAGAGTAGTTCCTGCCAAACATTCTAACACACCCAAAAGACATAGTTGGCTGTGGCTTCTACTTGTTCTTCTATTGATTTGGCTTTGAATTCCCCAAACCTCCACTTCAACTACTTTGCATGCAGAAAGTTCCAGATTCCATCTCTGGTATCTCCATTTAGAACCTGGAAAAACCCTTGGAACTTGCTTACTCATTTACCTGGAAGAAGAGAATGGATATCTGACGATGCCTGCTGGATCTCTACTCTGAACTCTTCTCAAGTGGAAGACAGGAAACCATATTTTCCCATTCTGTCACAGTTGGTCTCTAGCTGCTGCACATTGTATAATGGTCATTGCTGAAATGATGTCAACATCAGTGGGGCGCTGCCTGAATACTACAGGCTTCCCAGTAGAATCCTTTGACTTGAAAAAGTGCCAAACAATAATGCTTCTGTTTTTAACAGGGGAGGTTCTTCATAAGCATCAGTTAGGGTCTGAATTACCATGTGAATTATTATTACTTTTCAAATTTTAAGTGCGTGTTTGTTGGAGTCATCTTGTAGCAAAAGAAGCAAAGAGAAGGAAAAACAGGAGTACGGGCACTCGCTTTCTCTTTAAAGTAGAGAAGGCATACAAAAGGAAGAATTCTGAAGTTTGTGGAGATAAAGAACAGGAAAAGAGAATTAGGTAGTAAAAGTAGCTTTTGTTGAAAAAGAAACTAGAAAGAGTTCTTTCTCAGAAGGAGACAAGAGCTATATTGGCTGGGAAGAGCCACAGAGGCCAGGACCAATGCAAAAAGCCCCGCTGTGTATTGCTTGCCTGCCCTGAGCAGTGACAGGAATTAACCCATGATATAAGTCTCCCTGCACTGGATGAGAAAGCACTTCTACTTATACTACAGGATAGCACAATTCCCATATATTTCTTCTGTACATTTATTCCACTTGTATATTAGTATATGTAATTCCAAGCAATTTTTAACAGATGCATATACTGCAAGTTAAGCATGTTTAATGCAGCCATCCATATAGCATTATTATTACACTGCATTTTTATACTGCTTGTAGCTGAAGTTCTCTGGGTGATTCACAACATTTAAGTCACCCATCCAGATTTTAACGAGGCCCAACCCTGCTTAGCTTATTAGGCAGGATCAGGCACTCCAGGCTATATAGAAGCTAACAACATGATATGCAAGCTAATTGCAAACATCCATTTAATATTATGCAATTGCACCCTCTGCAGAATGATTTGAACCCTCTTGACTGTTCACCAATAATTATTTATTTTGTTTACACTGCAACTTTTTTCTCTGCAAGAAAGACAAAGCAGCTTACATAATCCTCTTCTCCATTTTATTCTTACAACAACTCAGAGAAGTAGGTTAGGCTGAGAGACAGCAACTTGCCCAAAGTCACCCAATGAGCTGCATGGCTGAGCAGGGACTAGAACCTGGACCTGCTCAGTCCTAATCCAGCACATTAACAACTCTAGCAATTTTGATTTTTGTTTCTTCCCTTTCAAATACCATTTCAATGAATCAGTCATGACATCTGTTCAAAAATGGTATTTTACCTGATTTCCAAGTTTATTATTCCAGGCAACTCTTCCAATTTCACTTCTTCTATCTGCAGTTCTTTAGCAGCATCTAAGATTTTTTGTTGGTCACTGGCATCCATAATCCCAATCTAAATGAGAAGACACAACATTTCTAGAAGAATTCAGAGGATGTGAGAATACTATAAAGTTCCTCCAACTTTAATTACAAAAGAGGCAAACTAGAGAGCATCTTCTATTTTAATTCTATCAAGTTAGGGAAATGAAAATAAAAATGAACCCCCCCCCCCCAAAGCAAGTATAAATGTTTCTATTTTGTGTTTACTTAAATATTTTTAGGCCATGGGTAAAAAAGCTCCAATTAATTTCCAAAGAAAATGCTGAAAAAGATATTAAATAATTCCAGGTAACATAAAGAAATACTATAAAACACTGTAAATAGATCTGTGTTCTTATCTATGCCATTTATTAAAAAACTAACCCATGTTTTCTCATAAGACTAAAGTACACAATGATGCTGTACTTTCATTTCCAAACCCATCTGAAAGAAATCCTTCTGGGTACAGGGACTGTACAAGTGGTGCCTCCTTGTGGTTGAACTATGACTTTCAGGCAAGAAAAATGTCCATTCTCAAATTCTTTAGTTTGACTATGAGTAACTCAACAAATACAGATACCTCCTGTTTTGCAAATTAGGTGCATGGCTGCCACCTGGGAGACCATATCTATCACCTGCCTATCCTATCGCCTGCCTGGGCAATGTGCAAAATTCCTCAGATGCATTACATTTGTATACATCTCTTGAGACTAGACATCAATTTAGATGGCTCCACATTCTCCATTTCTTCTTATGAAAACATACACTTTTCAATGTTAATGAACAGTCTCCATTCAACTAATATTATTTTCAGTATTTTTAGTTACTGACACTAAAGAATTTTTTAGCCTTGAAAATTATAACACTGTTTAAAATTAAATGGATAATCACACCCAATTTCTGTCACACCACCTGGAGTAGTCTGATCTATTCCACTACAACAAGAAGGAAATTAGGAATTCAAGACAGCGGAAACAGATTTTTTTTCCAATACTGCGATATGAAACGGCATTAAAGTGTCATATGAAGTGAAAAACGAAAATGGTACTAAGCCAACCTGTATAAAGTCTTCTTTTCCCATGGTCAAAAGCTGTCTTAAAACTATTTCTTTCTCCTGTATAAAACAAAATTATTTTCTCAGAAACAATAGCATAAATCAAAAATCATTTTCCACCTAACCTAGATTAATATTCTGAATACACCTGAAGTTTATATCCTATAAAACAGACCTTTATTAAAAAGGCAACATGAGTCTTAACTCTTAACAGTTATCTTCTGAAGTAATTACATGCATTAAAAACATATGCTGCTATCCATATATTTCCACTAAAGAAATCTCACCTTCAAAATCTCTGTTATGTGTTCTAGCCCAAGACCATGTAAAAGCACTTCCAGGTCACCAAAAGCTGCATAAGAACTACACACATATATTGGTTCCATTATTACAAAAATACATATAATCAGAACATGTATTAAAACCAAATAAAAATAAAACAGTATATCAGTGCTGCTGCTGTACCATAATGCGAATAGAAATATGATATTAACACTAACATTGTGTAAAAAATGTAGTCATTGAAAGTCTAACATGTCCCATGCATTTCAGAGAGTCTAGACTAAGTCACTCTAAGCTTTGATGCACTCCAAAGAGGCAAACAACTTTCAAGTCACCTCCTTTTTAACTTGGGACATGCCACCACTGACCAAAGAACACAGGTAACACAGTAAGGCACCCCAGCAAGGCAGCAGCCTGCGCAGAATGTTCATCTGCAGCTGGAGCACCAGTCATCTGTTTGGAGACCAGATGATGAGTGGTGAGGTCACTTAGGGAGTCATCTGCCCCACCCCAGAAGATGTTCCTCACCCTGATACAGCTCGATAGGGGTCCTTCAGTACAGAGAGAGAGAACCTCAAAAGGTGACTTGCATGTATCCTCTTGCTTATTAGAGACCAGGGACTGGATTACATTTTGGTGCATGCAACTGGACTAGGGGAAACAGTCTTCCCTGCCCATGGCAGCTCCTCGGCCCTTTGAAAAGTACTACACAGGTGGCTGAGGGACCCTCCTTAATGAATAAGTTGTGGGATGTAGGGGGGCTAGAAAACACATAAAGGAAATTTCTGTGAGTCCAGTCCTTCTACTCACATGAGGTAGATCTTAGATCTAATTCCAAGTTTTAAAAACTGCACAGCAGATAAAACTTGCATAGACTATTTTCTTTATGCTAGAGTTACTACTATATTTCTTTACCTGTTTTTATTGTTTTTAACCGCATCAGGTACTGCTTTCAAAAGTCTGTGAATAGCCTTTTCTTTAGTTAGGTTCTGAAACTTTCCTGGGAAAGGATGTGCTGTCAAAGAAAGTAAACTGAAAAGCTAAAAGAATAAAAAATGTAAAATATTAAACCAGGGAGAGGGTTTGATATATCTAAGAGTATGTTCAATTGCATACCTGGAAATAGTTGTGCAACTAGAATTTTCCAGCCAGTTAGCCTGGATTCCTGGATTCCTTTTTTTTTTAAAATGGTGTTACATTGGCCATTCTCCAATCCTCTGGTACAAGGGCCATTTTAAGGGACATTTACTCAGCCATCATTAATATCACATTGAGTTTTTCTGTATCAGGAAGGAACCTGCTGTTTCATCTCTCCAAAGTATTACTAAGGATAAAACGACTGTTTCGAATAGCTAACATCCATTTTATTAGGCTCTCCTGCCTTCTCAGGTCTTTTCGTGTAACTCTGTCTGTGACCTGCCCCTCAGTTACCTCATTTTATTTTTAATGGAGCAAGTAGTTCATGTGTGCATAGAGGTATAACATTTCTGAAAAATCTGAAGCAACAAAGGGGATCCCCCTTTTTTAATGGGAATATAGGGAAAAACTAAAAAATACATAAGGCTTATTTTTTAGCATTCTCTAAGGACCTAAAGTTACTTTGGGAACATAAAATGTTTTCTGTAAAACTTGCTCATAAATCTTTAAAATTAAAAACATTTACAGATAACCACAATGAATCTTTCATTATTGCCTGAACAGAGTAAACTTAAATGTAATATACCAAACATAATAATTTTGTGAGTAAACATCAAAAGTGTTTTGTTTTGTTTTTTTTAAGAAAAACAAGTGGAGTAAGCCACACTTTGTTGCATGTGGTGCGAGTGGTAAAACATGTCTTCCTCATGAGGGTTTTACATATACATTCAATGCTTACTCAAATATCGAACAGAACAAATTCATATACAGAGGACTCTAAAATAACCTAAACTATCAAAAATCCACATTTTTTCTTTCCTTTTTTGACATGAAATACAAGGTGACTTGTTGAGAAATCAAGTATGATGCACAGCATCCCTAGATTACCTACAAAAATAAACATTAAGGGCGTATTTCTGCAACTTTTAGGACTTTTTTCTGTCTAAGCATGCACAGAATTGCAACCTAATGGAAGGATTTAAGAAAAACCATACTGCATCAGAGCAATCTAATCCAGGATTTTGTTCACAGTGGAAAAATCCATTGCTCATTAGAATCCCAGAAGCAGGATGAGTACCAGTGATCTCTCCTGCCCAAATTTTCCAGCAACTGGTATACATAGGCACCCTGTTCTGATACCAGAGGTAGCAGACTAGTAGCCATAGATAAAATTCATCATAACACAACAAATAAAGTCAAACTTTTTCTTTGTCTAAACAAGCCCATGCTAAATCAATAATCTTAATAAGGAGTTGAAAAAATAACTACACCACAATCTTACATAGAGGATTAAAAACCATTTTCCATGGTTCTGTTTTGGAGCTGTCAAGGTAGTGTAGCAATAACTGAACACTTTGTCTTATAAATTTTATTCATAATTCTAAAGATTTTTTTTTCAAAATCCACCATTTTAATTTTTTCTGGAAAAATTGGGCTTTCACATACCTAACCTGAATACACAATTCATCAAAATATATTCAGCTTCAGTATTCCTTCTACTTTGCTTGATGCAGTGATTGACCCTACTTTTATTTATCCTAAATTAGCACATTAATAGAAATACACATCTTCATTATAAGAAACATTACTCAAATGTATATATCCAAATAGCCAGCAAATGAAGGTGTATTTTAATATTTACTTTGACAAATTATTCCTAAAAATATCTACAGAGGACATTTGAAAAACAAGACATGTTGCTGATAAGCTTGATATTACACAACGCTGGTGAAATGACTGCATGCATCATACTAAATCATAATAATAGCTCTAACATATGAATGGAAAGTTAAGCAAACCTGTAAGAATACAAACATTTAAACCTAAGTCTTAACATTCCATATGGAACAATACCTCTGAATGCTTATTGTTCTTTGCAATCTCTCCTGGTGTCAGTCCATCTTTTGTCTGTATTGATTTATCAGCTCCAAGCTCAAGCAACTTGAACACTACCTTCTTATGTCCCTGTCGTGCTGCCCAGGTTAATGCCTGTAAAAAAACAAAAATAAATAAACTGTTTAAAAGTGAAGAAAAGCAATTTCAAAAGGAGTAAATTACGAATATTTGCACTCAACCTGCAACATGTGTATATATCATTTCCTCAGCATCTAAATTCCTGTAATAAAAGTTCAAGCGGATGGTGTAGAACAGGGAGAAGAATGGTGCATCCATCAACTGTTTGTATTGTACAGGTATTCAGTGCTGAAAAGCAATCTTGGAAACTATGTAACAGCTTCATAAAGGTAAGTCAAGCAAAGTCCTTCTACATATGTGTTCTCTACTCCAGAAACAAAGCTGCGACTCCTGTCATTCCTGTATTTTATTTATTTTTATTTTATTTAGAAAATTTGTAGGCTGTCCATCACTGTCATCTCTGGATGGCTTACAATATCCATCTAGGCCAGACCTGGGCATTGTATGGCCCGCGGGCCACATCCAGCCCGATGGCTGACCCTGACTGGCCCGCATGAGGTCACTGGCAAATTAAAAGTCAATGCAAATATATATCGTCGTAATATAGATGCAAACAATACAACTGCACTGCTTTTATTTTGCAGAATCTGCTAAACTGAATTGAATTTATTGCTTTTCATGTAATATTAATGTTTTTGTGAATATTCATTAAATAGTGTTGTTCTGTGCTCCATATTTTCACTGTGTCATTGTAATGTTTCATTTACTGTTTTTATAGGGTTGTAAGCCGCCCCGAGGTTTCGGCAAGGGGCGGCATAGAAATGTTATTATAATAATAATAATAATAATAATAATAATAATAATAATAATAATAATAATATATTGAGCAGAGCTGTAAGTGTATTGGTCCGGCCCTTAACAACTGTCAAAGTTTCTCATGTGGCCCCATAGGAAAATTAATTGCCCACCCCTGATCTAGGCAATGCCTAAAAGCCATATGCTTACATGCTAAGACTTTTCCTCTAACTCATCTAAAAGCTAAACGATAACAATAGAGACAAACAACAGTTTTCTGGAGCTACAAAAATTGTGACTGATGCAAGATGAAGCACACTTTAGCCATCTTTAAAATCTGTCTTGCTAAGATACTTAGAACATTTGTAAAAACAAGAAGATAAATAGGTTAATGTGCTGAAGCTTACAGTGTAACCATTTTCATCCTGGATGTTTATCTGTGATCCATGAGCAGCAAGAAGAGCAATAATTTGAGGGTGGCCTTCACGAGCAGCATACATTAGTGGTGTCATTTTCTTCCTAATGAAAAGTCCATAGTGTTTGTTAAAATAGAGATGGTGTTCCCAAACCAGGTATTCTTCATTTGGTTATTAAACCAGTGTTATGTACAAAGAGCTGTATTTCAGTAACATATGGTGAATATCCAAGCAACAACTGCTACATCTTAAGAATCAGACTATGATCTACAGAAATATCAAGATATTATTTTTTTTATTATTATAGCATTTCTATGCCGCCCCTTGCCGAAACCTCAGATGCCAGAAAGATATAAACTATACTGTTCAATAGAATAAGTTGCAGGGTTGCTGTTTGCAAACCAGCTGATAAGATCACCCACTATGCCATCTAAATATTTCATAATCATAATATCATTAAGAAAGTAATGAACAATTAGTCATAAAAACAGTGCATCTGAAAAGAGAAAACACCATTGCTTTTTTCATGTTACTTATTACTTGTTTCCTTTAAAATAATGCATAAATACTCGGAATGTCTAAACAATAACTTGCTAGATTACTTATTGTGTGCTGATTAACAAAATTATCTCACTTGAAGAAAAGCCTAACACCAGTATCTTTAAAAATAGCACTGTAAGTCATATTACAGACCAGTAGAGGGAACCATAAACACATATATTGGAAAACTGTACTTTGCCTTAGCAAATAGGGAGTTCAAATGTTCGTTCCTAGATGACATTTCTGCAGTAGAATATCTACAGAAAAGTGTAATAATGTTTTACTTAAAAATGACTAAACTAAAGTAACTGTTTAAAGTAACTTTAATTCTATTAAAAACTCCAAAATGACAATTATCTACTTAACAATGGGATTACACCTATGTAAATTTGTTTCTTGCTTAAATGATACACTTAAATATATTAGAAATACATATGCCAAAATATAGAATGAGATAAAGAACAAGAATTGTAGAATACAACCAAGAAGGGACATAAAATGAGCTTATACAATTACTCATGTATGGAGAAGTTAGAAAAAATCTGTGAAAAGGTTCACAGCCTGTAAAAGACTATACCTAAGGTCATAGATCAGTGGTTCTTATTTGGTAGATAAGTTCACTGGATGCAGAAGAACTCAAGATCAATTACCAGTTTCTCAAACCCAGAACACATGGGAATGGGGTCGAATATAAATATTAAGATATATAAATAACTCGAGATGCTTTCTGCAACACATACTGGAGACCTATGCAGTGCAGATGGAACAGAACAGGATGGACCAGTAAGTTGCCTGGCTCTGGATCAAATAATTTTATACATGCAAGGTATTTCTTCATATAATTAACTAAAAACCAGTATAATGGCTTTAAGCAGAATTAGCTAAATAATGGAATACAGCCCTAACAATGGCTATTAGTCATGGTAACTGAACAGAGCCTCCCAGTCACAGGATACCAGTCACTGGGATGAAGGCAACAGCAGGAGAAGACGTATTTTCTTTATGAGTTGATTACAGAGCTTCCAGAAGTAACTGTCTGGTAACTGTAGAAACAGGATGCTAGACTAAATGGACTTTTGATATGACCTGGTGAAGCTCTGATGTTCTTAGCATTTTAAAGTTACAGCAATATACTTGAGACGTCAGTTGCTAACAATAAAATGTAGCTGTACAATGAACAATAGGAATTGTTACGCACAGGAATGAATCATCATCCCAACACTGGGATGTCAGCCTATTCTACTCAAGGGTGATAAAATGTCACCTAGTAAGGTATTATGAGCACTTCTTGGTACCACTGTTGGAGGAGTATAAAGAAAAACTAGAAGCACAGTGAAATGAAGAAACTGTTTACAACCAAAAGAAAAGGGAGAAATTTGATAGAACTTTTCAAATATTAATGAGATCATGAAGCAAGAGGGGAAACAACTAGCAGTGTAGCCACTGAATATGGATAAGGAGAAATGACATCAAGAGGCAGGTGGGGATGGAAGAGGTGGGGATGGAAGGACATATACTTTAGAAGTTGCAAACACTGATGCCAGAAAGGTTAAGCCATCATATTATTAGATCTGATTCTCCTAGGATAAGAAGAATTTTTTTCCAACAAGAGGTTACCCGAGAATAACTCAATTCTGGATTACATTTGCTGCAAGAAGGCAATAGACAAAAGTAGGATGATGACTTCCACAGAATCTACAGTAACTTTTCACTCATCACATTTGGGCACTGGCACCTCCACTGATTCTCTTGAGCCCTGGCAATCCCCATTCCTAAGCAGCACCCAATACTTGCAGAATGAAGATTTAGCACGTCTCTGGGTAACTAAAAACAAGCAAAAATGCTGTGTCCTAGAATGAGGCAGGTCAATGGAGCTGTTGTATGGGAGCTTCACCAGCCTGTCCCAATTGAAACATTATTATTATTAGAACATTTCTATGCCGCCCCTTGCCGAAGCCTTGGGGCGGCTTACAAACACAATAAAATACAAAAATAACAATATAAAATTAAAATTAACAATATAAAATAAATAAAAATATAAAATATAAAAGAAGTCGCCCTGGCCAGATAAACAAATAGTTACTGTTTGCTTCAAGGTTTCTCTTGGGAAATGTTAAATCTCTATTGTGCAATGGAATCAGCAAGGCCCACTGCTTGTGAACAGAATCTGCTAAGCATCTCACTGGATTCTGCTCTGGAATTTAGTACCAGAATATCAGTTTGACTAACAGGTACTAAAAGTGGAAGTTACACACATATGAAAGTTTGCAAACAGCATGGAAGACACTGTCACACACTGTGGAGTCAACAGGCTCCACTAATTTATCAGGCCATTGATACAAGTTTATATCATCATTTATAAGTGAGTAGATTCCATTGACCTCAGCAGGACTTACCTGCACCATCCAAGCTGCAAAATTACAGATGTGTACAACTTCCAGTTATGATGTCTTTTTGTATCAAGCTCCTGCACCATATTTAGTAAACACACAGAACTGACTTTACAATGCACCCTAGTAAGCACCTGCAAGCAAAACACTGAGACAGGAATAGCTACAAACACTCTTTCTCTTGTTATTTTGTGCAGTCACTGTTCTCCAGGACAGATGGTACCATAGTGCAATTCATACAGCTTACTGTTATGAACCAGTGGACAATTTGATTCATAAAATTAAACAGGCATTTCCAAATTGATCAATACATCACCAGGAATTAAGATATCAATTTTCTACTGCTACTTCCAAAAAGGCATGAAAACTATGATAATTCTTGTCATGTAAAAATTAATCATATACTTAGTAATTATTTTCCAAGCAAAACAAAAAACAAGAAACCGTGGCTCACTTTCAACTTGAATGCATCAAATATTATATTCAGAAATCAACCAATGCCCTACTGTTAAGGGTAAATATTCATTTTATCAGATTTATATCCCGTTTTTTTTCTTATACAAATTCAAAGTGGCTCACACCATTCTCCTCTACCTGCTCCCAGTCTAATCGCCAGAACAATTCTGTGAGGTAGGTTGGGCTAAGAGTCTACATAAATACAGACACAGGCATTGCAGCATGGATCTTAAGCGTTACAAGACAGAAACTGAAAGTGACACTTTTACAGAGAACGTATTTCTTTTATGGTTAACCAAGTTACAGGTAAGGTATCAAATATACTACACATATCAAGGTACATTTCCCTTTCACCTCCTCTTTTTCTGCAGATTAAGTAGATGGGTTATCTAATAAACTGTAGACAGTTTTGCAACCTTTCAATTAAGAAAGACTTCCATAGCTCCCAGCTGCACTGCATGATTTGCACAGACTCTGATCCTTACAAGCACCTACAGATGTGCACCAGGTTCTGCAGACACTTGCAGGGTGAAGTGCACTGCTTGTCACCAGAGGGAGCTGTGTTCTGGCTTCAAATCTTGACACCTTTTAATGCTAAAAGATATGCACAAACAAAAGCATAAACTGACTCCTTAGCAATCTGTTCTATAACTATTTCATTTACTGACAAGCTGGCAGGTCAATAATTCTCTGAATCCTCTCTCAAGATGGAAACAACTTTACCCACTTCTAGTCTCACATTACTTCATCTAACCTTCAAGAATTTTGAAAAAAAAATGGGCCTTTAGTACCCAAAGATGCAATTCTTCTGGTCATGAAGGCTTTAATTAATTCAGAGTGCTTAGATGATCCCATACTACCACTTTACTCTGGGGCTATGATTCCTTGACTATCTGAAGTTTCCCTTCTCAGATACAGTCTTCAGTTCCTATATTTCAATTTATGTACTTCATCACAGCAGGTTTCAGCAATGTCTGTTAATCAGATTACCCTTCCTTTAATGAGATTTCAAGTTTGTTCTATTCCGCATATTCTATGCATTAGTATAGGTATAGTAGGAACCATGGTTCTTTTTCTTGCGTATTAGTGGCTGCTTCACTATTAGTGAAACTGCTGTCCCAGTTTCACTCATATTCCTGTCACTAGTACTTGACATCCTTCTATCTTCTGCAATCTCATTACCCTTTCTTGAAAGATTTAATTTAAAGCATTCCTAATCAGGTTTGGAATAATCCTACCATTAGTTTCCATGAGGTGCAAGCCACCTCTTGCTAAAAGTCCTTCTTCACAGATGTGCAGATCATGGTCCAAGAAATTACACCTTTCATGACAACAGCATCTGTATAATCCATCATTCACTTCTACTATTCTCTCTCTTCCTAGCCCAAGACCTTGAATGGAAAAGTTTCATACTCCCAAGGTCCTCTACTCAGAGCTTCAGAATCACTTGCAAAATCTGCCTAACAGTATTTGTTCCTGAAAGGAGTGTCTTCAATAGATTTGATCCATATTTACATTTTTAATATTTTCTCTAAAACCAAGGAGAATTATTATTAACATTCATGTACCATCTAATCTAAGCTATCAACAGTGTACACTAATTTAAAATAAAACCCTAGAAATAAGAATTAAGAACTTTAAAAACAGTAAAAACCTTAAGAAGTAATTCTTATTACCCTGAGACACAAATGACAAGATAACCAAGTCACAATGGTCA